CCTCCCCGCTCCCCCCTCCCTGCTCCTCCTGCTCCTCCCGCTCCCCCCTGCCCGCTCCTCTTACTCCTCCTGCTCCCCCCCTCCCTGCTCCCGCTGGGGTGGGTATGCTTTTAGGTTCTGAAGGCAGCATTTGAGGCTCGCTGTGGGCTGTGTGTCATCCAGCCGCCTAATGACAAGGACCTTTATTTGTTTGAGAATGAGAGGGAGCCAGCCCGGAGCTGCTCTCGTCACAGGCGTTGTATGAATCCTGTGTTAGGTGGGGGATCTGGAGGTGACGGACACTCACTGTCGGTGTGGAGTGTCAGTTAGAACCCAGGGAACTGAGGTGTAGCACAGTAAGGTTTTTTCAGCAACGTACAAAAAGATGAATTTAAGATTATGGCCAAGGAAGGGTTGAAAGCTGCGGATCGGCAAAGAGCAGTTCAGGAGAAAATGGACCTTGCTGAATCGGTGCATTCATGGCTCCAGGCAGGGGCTGCCGCCTTCGCCTTCCTCGTGTGCTCGCGGTGTCGGACCTTTCTCCCCAGCAGGCGTCTCCTCTCATTAGGAGCAGCCTTGTAGGGGGTTCCGGGTGAGGCCGGGAAGGCGTTCCGTGACTCACGGCTCCTTTTCCCTTCCTTTTCAGCGCGTCCTTCGATTCCACCGTCAGGCTGTGGGACGTAGACCGAGGGGTTTGTATCCACACCTTGACGAAGCACCAGGAGCCTGTGTACAGTGTGGCTTTCAGCCCCGACGGCAGGTACCTGGCAAGTGGCTCTTTCGACAAGTGTGTGCACATCTGGAACACACAGGTATGGCGGGGCCTGCCCAGACAGGTACTCGGACCTAGTTAGAGGCATTTGCCTGTGGGGCTTATGTTCCTCGTGTGACACCGATTCATAGCTTTGTTTTAAAATAAGTGCAGTTTGGGGGAATTTACAGCTCAATAAAGTAGAAATCAGTTGAAGTTATATTTTCATATGTAGACCAGAATTTAAAAGTATATTTAAGTTGCTTTTTTTTAAAAAAAATTATTGTTCTAATACTTTTTCTAACTTTTTCCAACAATTTTTTTCACACACATTTGAAAATTCAAGATGGCTTCCATTTAGACCCACAGTGTATTTTCTAAAGAATGGCCTTTGGAGAGGCAGGCATGAGCCGTGCAGACGTGTCGCAGGAAGGACTCCACGACTGAGCACGTGCTCCATCCGAATCCGATTCGTAGCCCTACCGCTCTCTCAGCGACCGTGCTGTGGGAACATTTCCCAAAGGGGAGAAAGTAGCCGACTGCTTCCTCCTTTTTACCTGCGGGAAAGCGTCTCGTTTCTGCACCGGGTGCTGCGTGCCCTGCCAGCAGTCACCCCAGACCCGGTGTGCACACGGCTGTTGCCCTACGCCGCGCTCTGGGGGCCCGCCTCGTCCGTTCCACAGACTGGCCTTAAGCATCATTTTCAAGGTGGGAGCAGAAAGAGCAGCCCCCGTGGGGGACAGTCTAGCTGCCACCCCCTGTCCTCGGGTCTCGAGGCGGGGCCCAGCTGTCCTGACTGCCGCACCGGGGTTGGCTGTGGTTCCCTGCAGCCTGTACATCCGTCTGTTCAGAAAACACACGAACATTACATGAAGGCCTCTTCACTGAGAAGTTCTGCTCTCATTTCTGACTTGGTCCCTTTCAGGCAAATATTTTTTATTAATCTTTTTTTTAATCTTTTTTAAGTGAAAGCTTTGGGATCCTTTCACTTTCATTCCCGCTGGAGTGAAGGGGAGCGTGTGAGCGGGAAGGGGCGCCCGTGCGTAGTGTCACGTTGCGTCTGTCCTGCGTGAGGTGCAGAGTGTTCTCCATGTAAGGCGTTGGTGTTTCTTTTCCTGAGAAATGTGCTCATATCCTTCCTTGATTTCTGTGGGTTATTGGGCTTCTTGGCTTCGAGGAGCTCTTTTTATACTAGAAAAGTAAGCCCTTTGTAGTATAAATGGCGATTTTTTTTTCCCCCTTCAACAATTTTCCTTCATTCAATAAGGCAGAAACCTAAATTACCTTTTGAGTCAGTTTTCTAAGGTGGATTTATTTCTGGGAGAGAATGCGCACACCAGTGCATGCGTGACGCTGTGTCAGTGCTGCGGTTCACCCCCCGCCCCAGCCGTGGGCCCAGACACGTTTGCGCAGTGCACCGGTGTGGACTCGGCACAGTGTCCGGGTGCAGACACGTGTGCGCGGTGCACTGGCGTGGACTTGGCACGGTGTCCGGGTGCAGACACGTGTGCGCGGTGCACTGGCGTGGACTTGGCACGGTGTCTGGGTGCAGACACGTGTCGTGTGTGCGGTGCACTGGCGTGACCTCGCATGGTATCTGGGTGTGGTTCAGCCTTGGAGCATCCCAGTTAACCACTGCTCCACGGCCTTGATGTGTGATAAGGTGTGCAAGTCAGGGTGTCCCACCATTGCTCCCCCTCCGCTGCTCTCACTCCGCACCTGCACTGTTCTACGAACATCTGGCTGCATTGGGTACATTCGTAGGCACAGTGTATGTGTTTAAAAAGTTGAGTTGTACACCCAACTCAACTTTTAAACACGGAATAACATTTTAATACTTCATGAGAATAAATGTGAATAAGAAGTAAAATATAAATCTCCATATATATTCAAGTTCATCTTAGTTTATTGTCGCTTTTAACTATAAAATATTTCAAATACAAAGTAATAGAGCATTCTTTTCCTACCACCCAGATTTAATTGACAGAAACATTTTGCCAAACTTGTTTTGGATCTATTTCCATGTGTTTCTTTTCTGTTTCCACATGATAAAATATTATAGCCAAAGCATTTGCCTACTTTTCTTCCCTCTTCCATCCTAGAGGCTCTTGCAGTCCCCAGGAGGGTATTTGTCATCCTCTTCATAATTGATGTGTGCTGCTGTTTGTGCAATAATATTGTGCATGAATGGTATGGTAATTGTATTATTTTGAAACTTGTGTTTTTCTACCAATTTATGTTTCTGAGATGTAATTACATTAATACATGTAGCTCTGGTGTGATACTTCGTTTTGACTACCGTTGGGAATGTAATGGAAGCCGGGTGGGAGAGCTTTACCTGGGAGCCCCTCTCCACGCAGAGCTTCCGCCCTCTCCCTCCTCGAGGGAGGGCAGTTTGCAGAGTTTGAGTGGAAGCTCCCTTCGTGTTGGTTTGGTGTCTTCTGATTTCTTTTTGTTTCTTAATCTTAAAAAAATCCTTAAGTGGGACCAGCAGTTAGTGTAATGGCTATGTCACTGGACTCCCACGTAGTCAACCACGGTTCGCGTCCCGGACCTGGTGGCTTAAAACTCACGCCTGGCGCGTGTGCGTGCGTGCCCAAGATCCCGAGAGGAGAATGGAGGAGAAGGAATTGTGGCATGGCCATCCCCCCTGGGGGGGGGGTGATTTCTCGCTTTCTGTCTCTCTCTCTGTGTCTGCCTGGCAAGCGCACGCGCCCTATAGCAAAAACCTCTAAAAAAAAACATCCTTAAGTGAACCCGTTTTTTTCTTTGTTAGTAATCTGGAAGAGTCTCTGCTGGCATATTTACGTTACTCCCCAGGACCTGAGTTCTTTAGGCCTGAGTCAAGTAACTAGTGCCATGGCTTGCAAGCGTGTCTTGGATCTGATGAAGCGTATGCTGAGAAATGAAATCTATATTCTGGTTTTTCATTTCTTTTTCTCCTGACCTCTTTAGTCCTCTCCTAAAGTAAAGTCTAAAAGCTCAAATGCCCATAAACACTCAGTGTGAACTGAGAACGGGCCCGCACGCCCTCCAGCCCTGTGTCGGGAGCCGTCCCCAGCGGGGCTGCTCGTGTTGGAGTCAGCCCAGAGGCCTCGTGCGAAGCACACGGGCCTTCGTTGGTGTACTCCTGGACAAGCAATCTCGCGTGCCCACCCCTCCGTGGGGAGCCCCCTGGGATAAAGCAGAGGGGAAGGACTTGAGCACTGGGCCAGCAGGAAGCTGTGTGGGTGACAGCAGACGGGCTCTAAGCGCCCTCGGAGATGTGACTGTGGTCTCTAGTGTCTTCTCAAAGAATATTTGGGCGGCTTTTTTTGGTTTATTTTCTTAACCTTATTAACCCCTTTGGAATGGATTCCTTTTTGGGCATTGTACATTAATGAGTATTTTTCTCATTCAGCACAGGGAGTTGTCTCATACCGCTTAATTGTTCTCTTACTGTTTTCATAACGTTGCTTCTTCCATATATCTAAGTTCATACGTATGATTCATTCAGATTTTCTCTCATTTCACTGACACATTCTGTATCCCTGAATGAATATTTTTTTAAAGAATTATTTTAACTTACTTACTTACTTAATCAATTAATATTGACCAGAGAGGGACTAAGTGAGAGAGAGAGAACTAGAGAAGGAGAGAGGGAAAATGAGGACGCTGTCAGGTCCAGGACTCAAACCTGGGTTGGCCACGTCAGAGTCCAGTGCCCTGAAGCACCCCGCTACCTGCCGGCCCTCAGTAGCATGGTTTTAATAACTTACTTTATGAGTCCCCCTCCACATTATTCTCCAAATTACTTCTCTATTTTTGGTACTTCAGTGGTCTGTGTTTCTGAAAAAGAGTGTACACAGTTCTGGATTGTGCTGGAGCACCTTGAATTTACTGGTGAGATGGGGGACAGTTGTGTCCGAGTTCTGTCACCCATGCCTGCGTTGTGTCAGGTTTGTCTTTGCCTTCAGGAAAGTTTCCTGTTTTTGTAGTAAGGTGCCTTATGATTTTTATGTTGCTGTGAATGCCATTAAAAACACACATTCCTTTTACTCGCTGTCACTTGAGTTTTAGAACGTTTGCAGTTGCTCACTGAGTCCATTGTCACCAAATAAGGTTGGTGACACTTGGGGACAGTGTAGAATGCTAAGGGGAGGGACTGCTAGGCTTGAAGGACGTTGGGACAACTATCCATATTACTTCGCTGAGCCACTGTCGTGTATCAAACCTCATTTCACTTTTTTCCTTTTAAGTTTGAAAATAGGAAAATAGCACCTCGTGACTTTCCAGTATGGGGGTTGCTAGCCCTTGTTACAGCTGCGTCTGACGGTCTCCTCCCGGTGCTTGGACGGTGTGTGGGAGGCGGTTGTCGGGTCTCGTCCCAGCATACACGCAGACTCCAGGTAGAGCTGCAGGCCGGCACCACAGGCCCTCTTTAATGCCACAGCTCTCCCTGGCTGACTGTGCTGCGTTTTATCATAGCCCGGTCCAAGCATGATGGTGGACAGGTGCTTTTCAAAGGAAAGAAATGAACCTGAGAGGGGCCGCGGGCCCACGCGCGTGGGGAGAATGGAGGAGAAGGAATTGTGGCATGGCCATCCCCCCTGGGGGGGGGGTGATTTCTCGCTTTCTGTCTCTCTCTCTGTGTCTGCCTGGCAAGCGCACGCGCCCTATAGCAAAAACCTCTAAAAAAAAACATCCTTAAGTGAACCCGTTTTTTTCTTTGTTAGTAATCTGGAAGAGTCTCTGCTGGCATATTTACGTTACTCCCCAGGACCTGAGTTCTTTAGGCCTGAGTCAAGTAACTAGTGCCATGGCTTGCAAGCGTGTCTTGGATCTGATGAAGCGTATGCTGAGAAATGAAATCTATATTCTGGTTTTTCATTTCTTTTTCTCCTGACCTCTTTAGTCCTCTCCTAAAGTAAAGTCTAAAAGCTCAAATGCCCATAAACACTCAGTGTGAACTGAGAACGGGCCCGCACGCCCTCCAGCCCTGTGTCGGGAGCCGTCCCCAGCGGGGCTGCTCGTGTTGGAGTCAGCCCAGAGGGCCCGGGCCTTCGTTGGTGTACTCCTGGACAAGCAATCTCGCGTGCCCACCCCTCCGTGGGGAGCCCCCTGGGATAAAGCAGAGGGGAAGGACTTGAGCACTGGGCCAGCAGGAAGCTGTGTGGGTGACAGCAGACGGGCTCTAAGCGCCCTCGGAGATGTGACTGTGGTCTCTAGTGTCTTCTCAAAGAATATTTGGGCGGCTTTTTTTGGTTTATTTTCTTAACCTTATTAACCCCTTTGGAATGGATTCCTTTTTGGGCATTGTACATTAATGAGTATTTTTCTCATTCAGCACAGGGAGTTGTCTCATACCGCTTAATTGTTCTCTTACTGTTTTCATAACGTTGCTTCTTCCATATATCTAAGTTCATACGTATGATTCATTCAGATTTTCTCTCATTTCACTGACACATTCTGTATCCCTGAATGAATATTTTTTTAAAGAATTATTTTAACTTACTTACTTACTTAATCAATTAATATTGACCAGAGAGGGACTAAGTGAGAGAGAGAGAACTAGAGAAGGAGAGAGGGAAAATGAGGACGCTGTCAGGTCCAGGACTCAAACCTGGGTTGGCCACGTCAGAGTCCAGTGCCCTGAAGCACCCCGCTACCTGCCGGCCCTCAGTAGCATGGTTTTAATAACTTACTTTATGAGTCCCCCTCCACATTATTCTCCAAATTACTTCTCTATTTTTGGTACTTCAGTGGTCTGTGTTTCTGAAAAAGAGTGTACACAGTTCTGGATTGTGCTGGAGCACCTTGAATTTACTGGTGAGATGGGGGACAGTTGTGTCCGAGTTCTGTCACCCATGCCTGCGTTGTGTCAGGTTTGTCTTTGCCTTCAGGAAAGTTTCCTGTTTTTGTAGTAAGGTGCCTTATGATTTTTATGTTGCTGTGAATGCCATTAAAAACACACATTCCTTTTACTCGCTGTCACTTGAGTTTTAGAACGTTTGCAGTTGCTCACTGAGTCCATTGTCACCAAATAAGGTTGGTGACACTTGGGGACAGTGTAGAATGCTAAGGGGAGGGACTGCTAGGCTTGAAGGACGTTGGGACAACTATCCATATTACTTCGCTGAGCCACTGTCGTGTATCAAACCTCATTTCACTTTTTTCCTTTTAAGTTTGAAAATAGGAAAATAGCACCTCGTGACTTTCCAGTATGGGGGTTGCTAGCCCTTGTTACAGCTGCGTCTGACGGTCTCCTCCCGGTGCTTGGACGGTGTGTGGGAGGCGGTTGTCGGGTCTCGTCCCAGCATACACGCAGACTCCAGGTAGAGCTGCAGGCCGGCACCACAGGCCCTCTTTAATGCCACAGCTCTCCCTGGCTGACTGTGCTGCGTTTTATCATAGCCCGGTCCAAGCATGATGGTGGACAGGTGCTTTTCAAAGGAAAGAAATGAACCTGAGAGGGGCCGCGGGCCCACGCGCGTGGAGCGTCCTTGCTGCACACAGCGGGCGTGCAGGCTGCTCGGTCGTCCCTCCCTCTGCTCCTGCCGCAGATGCCAGAGGCTGCCTCTGCTCAGACTCCCTCATCGTCCTCACAAACCAGGACGCTCGTCCAGGGTGGGACCTCCCAGTTCGACCGCGTGGTGGTGGAGCGGTGTGTGCGACATCGCCTGCCTGAGCTTGAAGAGTGGAGCGAGGGACGTGGTCTGCACCTGGCAGCTGACGGGCTCTGTGCGGAGAAGGCCTCTGCGAGGCGCAGCCTGCCCCGCAGTGTCCTAGCTGGCCTCCTACCCCACAGAGCTCTAGACCCTGTGGTGTCCTAGCCGGTCCCCCACGGACCTCTAGCCCCTGTGTCGTCTGAGCCGGTCTCCGCCCTCTGGCTGGAGTGTCCCAGCCGGCCTCCGACCTCTGGCTGGAGTGTCCCAGCCGGCCTCCGACCTCTGGCTGGGTTGTCTGGGGCCGCGGGGGTTCTTTCTT